GAGTATGCAACTAGTAACATCTAATGCTTGAAAAATAACGTTGCTTTGTGATAAATATGTATTGATGTGTTGTATTTTTAAAAATATTTTTTGGTGTTTTAGTTGATCCCGAAGAGATGCCCAAAAATCAAAAAGCTTATATGGAAATGATTGATGTAAGATTATATAAATCACAACTAGATTTTGATCCGCGCTTGAAAAGCGCGGAAATTTTTTATGATTAAAAATTTATATAATTGGGTTTTGTCTTAATTTAAAGAATGTTTTGGTATAAAATTAGTTTACCAAAATTTGTGAGGATAGTTGTTTTTCATTATTTTTTAGGTTTAGTTTTTATTTTTAGATTTTGTTTTAAATTTTGGTTTTTAGTTTTTAAGTTTCTATTTTAGATTGAAATTTTTTATGATTAAAAATTTATATAATTGGGTTTTGTCTTAATTTAAAGAATGTTTTGGTATAAAATTAGTTTACCAAAATTTGTGATGATAGTTGTTTTTCATTATTTTTTATTTTTATTTTTTATTTTTAGATTTTGTTTTAAATTTGGGTTTTTGGTTTTTAGTTTTTAAGTTTCTATTGTTAATTTTCAGCTTTTGGTTTGGTTTTTTAATTTTTAAACCCGTTGAGTTAGTTTGAACTGATATTACCAATAAACAAATCTCAATTAATCGAACATGTAATTTAAAACTGAAAAGATGACAGAATAATTTTCTAAAAATTTTGAAATAGTTTATTTTGTAAATAAAAAAAAAAGCAAAAAATATAACCTGCGTTTTCAGCTTTTGGTTTTGGATTTTAGTTTTTAGATTTGGTTTTTGGTTTTGCTTTAAATTTTTTGTTAAATCTGTAAATTATTTATGAAAAATAAAACAATAAATTATTTCAAAGTTACCATTAAAATTTATCAAGATAGAGGGATTGTTATTTAAAATAAAAAATATTAACATTTTTTAAAGTACATGATTTAAATAAGTGATTAATAATAGATAATTTTGTTTTGTTGAAAATATTAAATATTTTTGGGCTAAAAAATATTAACATGTTTTAAAGCACATGATTTAAATAAGTGATTAATAATAGATAATTTTGTTTTGTTGAAAATATTAAATATTTTTGGGCCTGAAAATAGTAATTGATTTTTGATCCATTAAGGTGAAAAGTTTATTTAATGTTTTTGAAGTTTTTCTTTAATAATAAGCCCAAAAACCAAACAATTAAATGTCATAAAAACAAAAGTAAGCCCAAAACTCTATTCCATAAATAATTGCCGGTTTAATTTAAGTAATGCGGTTCAATCAACTATATAACTTGTATTATTTGTAACACTCTAGAAAATGTCCAAATTTAAATGATAACTTGTATCAGTAGATAAAAAGAATGACTCTATTTTAATAGAATACTAGATTTTGGCCCGCTCAACCGAGCGGGTGTTTAATTTCATATATATATATTTTTTTTAATCATTATTGGTATATATTTTTAATAATATTCATATGTTTAAATGTTTATTTATTGTTTTTTTGTCAACTAAATGTTCATTTATATATGCTTATTAATTTTAGATAATAACTTGTATTATTATATGAGAATAGATATACTAACACTATGAGAATAATTAACTTAAAAAACATTATAAATATTGTTTGAACATATGTAATAACAGAAAAATCCAAAATATATATGATACGTATATATAGTATTATCTCTTAACCACACACCGAAAATGAACTCATGCTAAAAATGTTGGAGTTGCACGACAAAAGAAAGTTGCCCTAAGAAGAAAACAAGACAAACCACTGGTGATAGATATCTCTGATATGTCCCAAGAGACTCCAAATCCAATGAAATTGCCAAATTGCCATTTTCATCAAGAAAAGAAAAGGAAGACTAAAACCAAAATACAAGAACTTTGTGTAGGCCCAAAAGTTGTGTGCGGAAATGAAGTTGCTGGAGGGTGATTAGATGACCATTTGGATTTGTTGCCCTCTCTTTTTCACATTTCTCTTTACTCACCCAAAACGCACCCACACTTTTGACCCACACCCACTTTCTTTTCTCTCTTTTCTCAAACCCCACCCTTAAACATTTAGTATTTTGAATATAATATTTATGTCTATTCTTATATATATATATATATATAGACACACACGAGTTTCTATGTAGATTTTATAGTCCAAACATTTTGATGTTTGGATAATTAACTAGATCTCTTGTATTGAAATTCTTGTCTCCGATTGCTCTATGTGTCTAATTTACAATGCGCGTTGAGTGATCAACATCAAGCTTTGCTTCCAGGATCAAATTAAATAATAACTATGATAAAATTGTTAAATCGTTACTGTTTGAAGATCGATGATTATAGAAAATTATGATATAAAATTATGAAAACAATAGAAGGATAGAAAATGATGTGGATGTAGACGCCCGACATTATGCATGGTTCAGCTCTAATTTGGTAGAAATATGTGCTTCATTCATAAAGCTGAAAACTATTAAAAAGCTTAAAGTTATTTAGTTATATTTACGAGTTATTTTCTATGCAAAAAAAAGTGTGATACATATGCCAGACTTTGTCAGAAGGATTTTGTGTAGCATATAATTCCCCAATCGCAGAGACGTAAAAATATTCGATTTGGTAACTGAAGACTCGAGTACGTGGAATCCACACATTCACATTCACATGACACCAAGTACACCTTTTCATCTGTTTTTAGTATTTACATTTCCAATTATTTTCTTATACTTGAAAGTTTTTTTGGTAGCCACATAATTATAATATTCATGTCTTCGGGATCATTATTTAATTGTTAACAGTAAACTGGCAGAATTATAATCAAATTTACTTCTTAAAATTCAAATTAGAGTTTTATCTTGTACATATAAAAGTGCATAGAGGGTTTATCTATTTCATCAACATAAACGATAAAATTAAATATACGAAGCTTGCTTTATAAGATGATCTATCAACCCCTATACTATTCTGGATTCAAATTTAACACGAGTGTCACGTTATTGGATGAATATACTGAACTTTTAGTATTAAGAAATAAAATAGATAAACCTCATGTAAAAAAAATTAAATCGAGATGTCTTAAGATGGAATCACTAAACCTTTCTGATTAGTCTGGAATGAAATTTCATAATAAAATAATTCCTCTACGTTCTTACCATATGTATCTATAAACTAATGGGACCTTGTTTAATTTTTTTTTTTTTTGTAACAGTGGGACCTTGTTTGATACAATTGAATTTATCTAGTTAATTAAATTACATTTATGTTAGATCGAATGACACATAAACCTTCCTCAACTTAGTAAAAAAATCCAATGAGTTATTAAGCTGTGGTTAGCTTTTCTGTACTCATTAATTTAGTATTATGTGGTTTACTTCGGACAAGCAATGTAGATTGATATCAACATGGTGCATATGATAAATGTATTATGTATTCAGACGTACTCGCATATATCAGCATATGCACGTGCATATATATATACACAAATTCTTCTGTTGTAAGAAACGGAATCCACCAAATTAGTCAATTTTTAATTGATTTTATATCAAGTTTTTACAAAAACGTAGTCAAAATTGCTTATGGATACCATTTCAAAAAAAAAAAAAAAAATGCTTATGGATATGTTATTGTTACCTGCGATACTTCAATTTCCATACATTCAAATCTGTAAAATTCAGTACTACTGCTGGTAATTACATATATTAAAGTTGAGACAGACCACGTAAGTTGTCACTATGTGATTTGATTGCTATTATTATTTCACACTTGTCATTGTAAGAATTGCTAAAAACCACCAAATTTGAGCCCAAAAAAAAAGAAGTGCTAGAAACTATAAACAACATACACGTAATAGATTTTACTCGTCTTCTAATGGTGCGAACTAGTTGTATGTATAAAAGAGCTAGCCCACTTCAAACGGTGGAAATGAAGATGTGGAATCATGACAACCACTTGATGTGGAGTTTGGGGACGAAATGTAATTTAATAACTACAAAACAATTTTTGTCAATATAATATATTTGCATAGATTTAAAAAAATAATATCCTAATATTAGTGTTTAAAATTTTCATATATGAATAAACAGTATTTTTATAACTTCTTGAGAAATGGTATCTTTTATAACTTTCTAGATAGAACATCATAATATATATGCATGGTAGAATATATAAATATCATGCATGCTCTAATTCACTGCAACCATGCATAAGTAAGTTTTAGTATTTATTTGCTCATGCAGATATCTTCTTTTGGGACAAGACATCCAACAAATATGTTGTCCACCTTAATAGTTTCAACGCATTTTCAGATAAAATGATACTTGTGAGATATGGGTCCTAAACTTACGTAGGATTGAACCCAATTGGTTGTTGCGGTCACGTGGAGTTCACTTTGTCCACCTGTGTGTTCTTCACTGATTTAACCTTTTAAGATCGACGATATTTTGTGTTAGATAAAAAAAAAAAAAGGATCGACGATATAGACCATGAGTGTAGAAATTAGGATAGGCACCCATATTACAATGAGATCTTTTTGTAGTGGTCTGGTTGGTCGAGTTGTCAAATTCCTAAAGTTACTTAAACTATAAAGTAACTTTTTAACGAAGGAAACACACAATGGAGAAAGAAAAAAAAAAAAAAATCGTTTATCTCTGTTTGCAATTAAAACAAAACACGAAAAAAGTATCTATGTAGCAAAACTCATCTGTTCCACATCAATTACACTAATAATCTTAGACTTTTAGTAGCCACAAGTTTTATTTACCTAATATGATTGGGTTCATGAAGTCAAATAAACCGAATATTTATATGTAGAATGATCTTTAAAAATGTAGAATGATCTATCCACTTACTTTAATGATAATGAATTCATGTATATGAAGTCACTATAAAATATAAAATTTAATAATAAATATAGAAAAGAGAAACGCAAGGGAGAAAGCAGAGAACACTGAAAAATCCGAATATTATGATATAAATACAATGAACCTCTCACCTCTTGGTTCTTAGGGAAAAACACATTCTCTAAGTGTTTATCTCCTCTCTGTTCCTAACTCATTTCTCTTATACACAAACACTAATCTCTGACATCTTTTTCATCCTCAAAGATCATAAATAACCCCAAATTTTGTTTAGTTTTTCTTGTCTTAAAACCTTAAAAGACAAATTAAGATGGGATTAAGGATGTCAGAATCAGCTAAACCTTACTTTACAATGGTTTGCCTTCAATTCGGATACGCCGGTATGAACCTGCTCTCTAAAGCCGTCCTTGACCGCGGTATGAGCCATTACGTTCTTGTTTCATACCGCAACGCTTTTGCCACAGCCGCGATGGCACCTTTTGCATTTCTCTCGGAAAGGTACATAAAAAATGTTCATATTGTTTTTAGTTTTTAATATCACAGTTAATTTTTGTTTTTGCGAGTTTTATGATATTTATGTGATTGTGGATTTTGTAGGAAAGTGAGGTCAAAGATGACGTTTTCAATATTCATGCACATATTTGTTCTTGCTCTTCTTGGGTTAGTCTTCATTAACCATAACCACAACTTTCGTCTTGTTGAATGTACAAAAATGTTAAAATTATAAGGCTAACAAATATGATTTTTTATTCAAACAGGCCTGTTATTGATCAGAACCTATATTACATCGGTCTGAAACTCACATCTCCGACGTTTTCATCGGCCGTCAGTAACATTATGCCGGCAATTATCTTTATCCTCGCCACTCTTTTCAGGTGCATACATAGTTACATAAAATCTAGATTTTATTTATATTTTCATACGTGGATATGCACCAATTCATACATAGATCTATAGTACAATTAGTTACAATATAATAAAATTTTTAATGTTAACGTGTTTTATGTAAATATTTGAATATAAAAAAGGATGGAGAAAGTGGAGATGAGAAAAGTAAGATGCCAAGTGAAAGTGGTGGGGACTTTAGTGACAGTGGTTGGATCCATATTGGTGATATTATACAAAGGCCCTTTCATCAATTTCTTCCGATCTCACCTCACCACCACCACCTCTTCGCCGCTAGCCGGTGATTATCTTAAAGCCACCATCTTCCTCCTTGTCGCCTCCCTCTCATGGGCTTCGTTCTTCATTCTTCAGGTATCATTTATTGATCAACATTAAGAAAGTTGTTGGTGTTAGTATGAATTAATAGATATATCATCAGTGAACTCTTAGATAGAATGAACAGGCTAAGTTGTTTAGGTTGATTACATACATCAATGTGACGCCATTTATTTTACGATTTATTACATTGACTACTCTAAATAATAGTGTTTCAAAAAAATACTACTCTAAATAATAAATTGTAGTAGAACACGAAATATGCGAAGACAAAAAATATGATTGGACTAAAATAACAAAAAAACACATTTTTGCGGTTTTTAATTTATACATTTTGCTATAAGATATATAAAGATATATATGGATCTAATTACTAATTAGGGGTTATATAATTTTTATTGTTTTTTTTGTTAGGCATCGACATTGAAGAAATACTCAGCCCATCTTTCGTTATCAACCATGGTGTGTTTCATGGGAACATTACAATCCTTAGCCCTTACCTTCGTAATGGAGCACGATACTTCTGCTTTGAGCATTGGTTTTGACATGAACCTTCTAGCTTCTGCCTATGCGGTCCGTTCTTTTCTTATAAAGTTCAAGCCATCTTAATATATAACGAAAATATCAATACACAAATTAAGGACAAAATTGATACTTATATATTGTAATTGGTTCGATTACAGGGAATAATGTCGTCGAGCATAGCTTACTACGTTCAAGGACTTATGATGCAGCGAAAGGGGCCTATCTTCGTCACTGCTTTTAACCCTCTTATCGTTGTCATTGTCTCCATAATGAGTTTCTTTGTTCTTGGTCAAGGAATCTACCTTGGAGGGTACGTTAACACAACTGGTTCATTATGATATACACCTGGTTTAGTTTTCGTTCGATCGTGCTAATTAAATTAAACCGGAATTTATATTTCAGAGTCATTGGAGTTGTTGTCTTGACAACAGGGGTCTATGCTGTGTTGTGGGGAAAGCACTTAGACGATGTCGGTGAAGTACTATACCGTGAAGATAACATAGTTGTAGAAGCCATTGAGTGTTGTAGTGGCAATAATGGTCTCTCAATAATGCCTAAAATTGATGAAGGAGATGAGGATGTTGAAACCGGGAAATCTCAGGCGGCAGCAAAGGAATCATCGTTGGTGGTTGTGGTTTTTTGTAGTGAAAATGTGAATAATGATTCACAATGCTAATTAGATGGTTTTGTTTGAGGCGAATGGGAGAAGAGTAACTTATTTTTGATACTTAGTGTGAATTTCTTCCCCAGCTTCAGAAGTTCTATTTATAGCTTTGACTCTCTAGAGTAACCAGTGATTTAATGTACCATCCATCTTGATCTTTAACTAGTTATAAGTCTATGTAAAACACTGCATTTGGTAAACAAATCCAATTTCTGCATACCATTATGATATGGATTTATTGAAGGTATATTAGAAAGTATATTTCTTCCTTTTGCACGTTTCATGCTAACTGTTGGTTTACAAGCTTTTACTTATAAGCTAATAAATGTGTTAACTATTACTTTTCATATTTTTATAGAATAGATGATCAATAAACATAAAAGCAACCAAAAATAATTAGATGACCAGAAAATGTGCTGTTGTATTCCAATATAGTATATATTGTTAATTTACTCTTTCATTTTCCTTATATATCTTGTTTTAATTAATGTTAATCTCTTAAAAACAACAGTGATTCAAATTCGCAACTTTGTCCGAAATGTATCTATATTGAGAAATTTAATATGTAATGTTAAAGAAAAAAATTTCCACATAGAACACAAACATATTATATTCTATATATGATTTAAGTAAAATATTAACCATTTCAACATTATGAAATTATCATTTAGACTATAAATTTATTCATGGTAACTTTTATAAATGGGTAAATGTTTGCTCTGTCGATCTACAGTTTTAAATTTTGAATCAAACTTAGTGATGAATAAATATAATAAATATAACAAAATAAAACTAGATTAGTCTATATAAGAAAATGAACTACAACATGTTCTACATATGATCATTTATTGGTTGTATACTTATTCAGTTTGTAAATTTCTTGAAGAACAAAATGTATTTGAAAGTGTTTTTGAACTTTACTTTCATATATCTGATTAGCCATTTGACTTTTTATATGCTAGATTCTCATTTTTAATTATATTAAATTTGTCATCCTTAATTATTGCAAGATTATTTTCTAATCAAGACTGTATTTCAGATCATCATGAAATATTGATAGTGAATGCATAAGATATTGCCCTTGTTCACAAAGAATTTGGAAAGAAAAATGACACCATTGTTGAAATTAGATTAACAAGTTAGTATGTTCTGATATGAAATATAGATGTTTAAGAATCTGAAGTCATATTATAGATGTAAAAACTCAAACTCTAAACTTTAGTTTGTAGCCAAGCACATACGAAATTAAAAGTTGAGTGTAATCACTAATCATCTTGTGCTTGTGCAATGAATTCACATAAAGGTATGTGTAATCACTATCCCTGAAGAGCCCTTGAAAATTTTTTGCTTGTAATAAATCAACTTATAACATGGGGTGACATGTTACAGGTTCTCTGACGTGAGCCACGAGATGTTGCTCATCAACCTTAGGTAGCAAAATGGACTCAAAATCATGTAAAAGAAGAAAAATTACACACACCAATGAAATCAAGATTCACAATCCTACTAGAATGAGTTTAAGAAGAAACTTAACTCTAACCTTCTCAACTCCAATTACATTATATATTTTCTGCAGTGGATAACCTTTTTCACCGGTTTTAGCAAACTCCTTCTTACACATTCTTGGACATGCACTCTTTGATTTTTCTACATCAACTAGATATTCTCTCTTGAGCTGTGGAATAGCTTCATAAGGAAATATCTACAATGCAGAAAGAAAACAAATAAAAATCAAGACGTGGCCATGAGATGTTGAGCCAGAGAGCGATATTGTTAAATAGCATAAGCAGAAATTACCTTTAAAGGAGTTATGAAACATGAGAAACTCCATGAATTATTTACTTTGCCTTTGAATTTTTTCATCATGGTGAGAGATTCATTAAGCAGTCATCAAATGTCAGAGTACCCCAAGGAAATGTTTCACAGAGACTCAGATTGTCTACTACCTTAAGAAAGAAGAGGTTTAAATAAACTTTTGTTTTATTCTTCTTTCTTTTAATGACAGATCCTATGAAGAAAAGCAACACCATCTTCAGAAGATTTTCATTTCCCTCTTCCATTGATTCTAGTTTTTGTTCTACGTCTGAAATATCTACCTTAGATGTGTCTACAAAATACTTCTCAGCAAAACTTCAACTTAAATTATGGCTCTCTTCAAAACGTTCCTTATAATTTAGTGGGAGGTGATCGCAGCATAAGCCAGTTAACAATGCATATTCTCGAATGGAATATCTAATGAGAACGCCATTGACAATAGGCCACCATTCATTATCCCTGATATATGCTGTCCTAAGAATTAGAGCCCACAGTGTCGAGTACTTATGAATTTGTCTAGGCATATGAAATATATGTTGAAATTGAGGATGTTCCTTAAACCACATAGCCTTATATTGTAGCTTCTTCTCTATGATGTCAATGCTTCGGTTGATATTGGCCGCCGTGTCTCGATAAGAGGACTGATCAAAAAACATGCTCTCAGGTGGAGGAACTGTATCTTGCAATCTATATTTCAATAAATCGAATCAACAATCCAATTAGCGCGAGCAAGCAATCCACAATCCCCACAATAAAAACCAGAATCAACGAGACACAATTTAAGGCGGCGAAATACTGACGAGGAGCTTGTAGCAGCCATTTGCGAGGAGGAGCTTGTAGCAGCCATTTGCGATGATCTTCTTCACTAGTCCGAATAAGACTGGTGCTTTGTAGTCGCTGAAAAAATGGAAAATGGGATATTTGAAATTTTAAAAAGGCAAAATCAGCGTCTCCTCGTCTGACTGACTCGTACTTGTACTAGTCTGGCAAATACGGAAATGGCGAGAATTGAACTTTTCACCACAGAGAATCTAGGGTTTGAGTCTTTTATGTGTCTTCTTCAGTTTTCATATATTTTTTTAAGCTTTCACAATTTATTTATACGAAATCTTGATAGTTATTTTTGAAAGATATAAAAAAAAAGTTTAACCATAATATATAAAATTAATCGATAGGTTTAATATCTCTATTTATCATTCTTTGATTTAAAAACTGTCAATAAGCACTTTAATCAAATAAAGTACACTTTTTACTAATGTTTAAATATTCATATTGCAAAAATCTCAATGTTTTCAATAGTTTGGCTATTTTCTTGGAATAACAATAGTTGTTTCTCATCTAGCATACTTTTACAAATGATGATATAAAAGATCATTAGAGAAATTGTATAACATTATTTTTTATTCTTGTTTCTTTTGTTTTTCTAAAATAATTTGAACCATGACTAATCGCAAAGAATTTAAGATATTCATACTAATCAGTAATCATATACCTATAAAAAATTCGTATACTAATCAGTAATCTAATGTTCATGGTCACTTGAAATATAAATTAAATACAGGTTATGAATTTTAGTAAAGAATGAGGATACATAGTATTTCTGATGCTCTATATTTCCTACTAATTATAAGCGTTCACATATAAACTACTAAGTGTATTAATTATTTATTATCATTATATATTTAGAAAAATTAGGATCATTAACCATAAATAATCAAATAACCATATTTTCAATTTATCATTTAAATATATTTTCATTTATTTTGTTATTAAATATCTCCCTTTTAATTATAATATTTTAGTTTTATAAAAAAGAATTCAAATTTACAACTTTGTTGGAAACACACATTTAAAAGAAAATAGTTATAAATTTAATTAAAATCACTTGTGTTTTTAATTGGCTAGGAAGAAAAAAACAAAGTGAAAGTGTGATCAAGTTTCCAAGTAGATCATAAACTCCAAGTGAACATAGCACATTCTTAACTACAAAACTGGGAATCAAACCGATACCAACTACTATTGATGTCTCTCGACTCAGAAACCAGTAATGTTTTCTTTTTGGGTCACACGCCTATAGCCCATTAGATATTGGAAACGTTGAAGATATGAAATTTCAATTCAGAATCTCTTTGATCAGACACCAACCTTTTGCTGTGGAGTTTGGTGATTTCTAGCAAGTAAATCATGACTCTACAAATAGGATATGGTAATATTAGATTTGAAATCAGATCCAATAACCATAAAACCACCCTTCAGTTAGTAAGGCTAATCTAACAAATATATTTGTAGCAGAAATGCAGACTATAACTTTCAACACTAATGATGCCAATGAATATAACCTAAGCTGACTAATTCATGTGACAAACCGATCATGTCAGTATGTAAGTTAGTTGGCAAATAGAAATCTATAATCTATACTATTATTTAAGAAGTAAATATGCTTAGTTGTCATATTCTCCATAAGTTTAGGTAATTTTGTTTATTTATCATATTTTTAATATTTATATATAATTTTTTTATAAATAAAACGAATTTATATGAATAAACCATATTTTAGAAAATAAGATAATTCTTGTGAATTATGTTGTTATCTAGAAATATATTTTAGATATAAAACTTAAATCTTAAATTAAGATATAAAAAATTATATTTATTATATATCTAAAACAAATTTATATTAATAATTTTATATTTTTCTAAAATAAGATAATTCTTATGTATTATGTTGTTATGTTGAAAATATAATTTCGTACTATAAAAGTTTAAATTAAGAAAAAAAATTATATTATTAATAATTAAATATAAATCATCAAAACAATTATTTGAAAAGTGAATTTGTTGATTTATCTCCATGATCATATATAATTTTGATCATTTATCAGAATTTCTCTAATTTTGTTTATTATTTATTATTTATTATATAATTAAAACTAATTTATATTATTAATAATATGATATTTTAGAAAATAAGTTAATTTTTATGTCATATTTTGTTATCTTGAAAATATATTTTTCTACTATAAATTTTAAAATTAACATGTAAAAAAAATCTATACTATTATTTAAGAAGTTAATTTGATGTTTGTTGATTTGTCATATTTTCCATGATTTTAGGTAATTTTAATAATTTATCATAATTTCTATAATTTTATTTATAATTTATTATATATTAAATTAAATTTATATTAGTAGTATCAGATTTTTTTTTTAAAAAGGATACTTCTAATGTATTAAGTTGTTGTCTTGAAAATATATTTTATTATTTGAAATTTAAAATTAAGATATCAAAAATTGTAGTTATCCTATAATTGAAATAAATTTACACTAATAATAGTATACATATAGAAAATAAGATAATTCTTACGCATTATGTTGTTATCTTGAAAAATTATTTTTATAGTATATAATTTAAAAGTAAAATAGAAAAATTATCTGTTATTAATTAAATATAAATCATCACCCAAGAAAAATTATTTATGAAGTGAATTTACTGATTAATTAAGTTCTCCATATTTGTAGGTAATTTTAATTGTATGTCATAATTTCTTTAATCTTATATAATTATTATATAATTAAAAGAAATTTATCATATTATTTTTAGAAAATAAATAATTATGCATTATATAATTATCTTGAGAATATGCTTTTCTATTATAAAATTTAAAATTAAGATATAAAAATTATAATCAAATATAAATTGTATAAATACTATAATTAAATATAAATCAAGCAAATGTGCTATAGAATTATATTTTTTTAAATATTTCTGATGTTTTAGTTTTGTCATTGATAATTAGTTGATGCCCACAAGTGCGGTCAAAGCATCTAGTTGACTTTTATAAAAAGTTATAGTCAGCATTATAGTACTGGTGTTATTGTGTCACAATTGGAATCAGATTAATGTGTACTGCTGAAAAATGCATGTGACATGATTCATTGAACTCACCTATAATAATGAATACAAAAACGAAAAATTCAAAAATAAATAAAGTTTGCGTCTCACCAAACACACCCACCAACTCCTCTGGTCCACCACTAAACACACAACACCGACTCTCCCAAACCTTTCTGGGTTTGTTTTTATATATATTTTGAAACAAAGCAAACATAATTTGATTGATTCTTAATTAGAGTATTATCTCAAACAGAAGTATGATGTGAAAAGTCACTAACTTATTTGCGGTTGATGAAAATCTTATGGGCAAAAAAAAGGGTTTGTAATGAGTGAGTCTAAATTAACCAAACGCACGCAGTTATGTCTGGGATCGCACACCAACCCTTGTCTACTTCATCCATACCAACCCTGTCTACTTCATCCTCACACCAACCCCAAAACCAAACCTTCCTACGCTTCTCCACTCGCTATCAAAACGCTTGTTGTAACCACCGTCTTTATTTTATAGAGGAGAGAACATGAATAAAACATCTAGTACCGTCATTGGACCACCAAACAAACGAATGATTTGAGAAATTAAGAATTTTAATGATGGCAACAAGACTAGTTTACTGTGAATTATACGTTTCTGGTATCTTCGAAGATAGATATTAGAACAAAGCTGATTATAGTATTCTACTTTCGTAAACAAATATGTTTAGAGATAGGTGTAGTGCCCTAATTTTTTTTCTTCATGAGCATTTCCTTATTAGGACCTAGATAAGTAACCTGCATGCGTTTGAATGCATTAATGCCTTAACATAACATTTTTGTTGACAATAAACCTATAGCATTTTGCATTGTTATATACTAAAAAACAAAACGATAACAACTTCTCATAAACTATTTAATTCAACCGTTGACATATCATGTAAGATATCAGTGTAAATTTTGTTGTCATGAACCTTGGGATTTTTTTTTTGGTCAAGAACATTGCGATTTAATTCCATATTTACTCTTTTGCTAAAAAAAAGTATATATATATATATATATATATATATCCTTATTTATTTATTACTCTTAAACAAACAAGATTTGACCCCAAAAAACAACCCAAGATAATTCGGTTCACCAACCCCCACCCTAATATAAACCAAAGTCTCGACCACACCCACCTAGAATTCTAGAATTGAATTCCATTTACACTTTTCTTCTTTTTTTTCCCTTACAATAACACAAAGTTCAACAACCCCCATGTCGTGGTTTCTTATAGCGGCTGCGGCAATCGCCGCCGTCGTCTCATACAATCTTATCCAACGGCTGAGATTCAAGCTCCCACCAGGCCCACGTCCTAAGCCTATCGTCGGTAACCTCTACGACATAAAACCTGTCAGGTTCAGATGCTACTACGAGTGGGCACAAACCTATGGACCAATCATATCCGTCTGGATCGGTTCTATCTTAAACGTGGTCGTATCAAGCGCCGAGTTAGCCAAAGAAGTCCTCAAAGAGCACGACCAGAAACTAGCCGACCGTCACCGGAACCGATCCACAGAAGCGTTCAGCCGCAACGGTCAGGATCTGATATGGGCTGATTATGGGCCTCACTACGTGAAGGTGAGAAAAGTTTGCACGCTTGAGCTCTTCACACCAAAAAGACTCGAGTCTCTTAGACCTATCCGTGAAGATGAGGTCACTGCCATGGTCGAGTCCGTCTTCAGAGACTGTAACATTCCTGGTACGTCATCGTTTTGAATATGGTTTGTGTGGAAATATTGTAAGCCACGCGTTACCTTTACTCTTTAGCGTCAGAAATGATTTATGTTTATGCTCTTTTTCTTGTTATCAGGGTCATGTTTTATTTATGTTGACTTTATTTTTTGAATATTATTTAATCTAGTTATGGCATTATTAATGTATATACAGTCTGATATGTAGAATAATCTATTATGGCATTATTAATGAATGCAATCTGGTCTATATTAATAAACAGTACTGCTTATGTTCTGACAGATAAATTTTTTTTTTTAATTTCAAATATATATTTTAATTTTTTTCTATGCATTTTTAGATAGTATTAGTGAATTGTAAATTTCAAAAAGATTTCAAGTTTTATTTGTTTAAAATAATGATTTTTTCAATACTGAATTTATTTTTCCTCAGAAAACAGAATGAAAGGATTACAACTGAGGAAGTACTTAGGAGCGGTTGCGTTCAACAACATAACGCGGCTAGCGTTTGGGAAGCGTTTTGTGAACGCGGAAGGTGTGATGGACGAGCAAGGGCTTGAGTTCAAGGCCATTGTATCCAACGGTCTGAAGCTAGGTGCTTCACTGTCTATAGCTGAACACATCCCCTGGCTCCGGTGGATGTTTCCAGCCGATGAGAAGTCTTTTGCTATGCACGGAGCTCGCCGCGACCGCCTCACGCGAGCTATCATGGAGGAACACACTTTGGCACGTCAAAAGTCTAGTGGAGCTAAGCAGCATTTTGTTGATGCGTTGCTTACGTTGAAGGATCAGTATGATCTTAGTGAAGACACCATCATTGGTCTTCTATGGGTATGTTTTAGTGCTTAGTCATTTGAAATACATTTTGAATAGTTGCTAAGAATCATGACCGGTTTTGGCAAAACCTTATAAAACATTTCCCTTGATCCCTAAATTTTTTAAGATAAGGTTAATGGTCCTAAATTATAAAATATTTTTTTTTATTAAGATTAGTCTTTTTTAATTAAAATTAGTCTAGTAATGTTTATGACATTCTAGATTCCATGACGGCCTGCTAAGATGTGCACATCAAACTGTTATCTTATTAGATAGTTTTTTGATCTTGAGACTTTACTATAGTCTATAGAGCGGTCTGGTCTGGCATAGTTAAATACAGATTGTTGATCCTACCAAAACTGAGCATCCATTTAAACCCTTTGATCAATGTAGGTTTCTTGTTGCTCACGTTTGGTACATGATGTGTTTGTGTGTGCAGGACATGATCACGGCGGGGATGGACACAACAGCTATAACAGCAGAATGGGCCATGGCAGAGATGATCAAGAACCCAAGAGTGCAACAAAAGGTACAAGAAGAATTCGACAGAGTGGTTGGACTAGACCGGGTCTTAACCGAGCCAGACTTCTCACGCTTACCCTACCTCCAATGCGTGGTTAAAGAATCCTTCAGACTCCACCCGCCAACGCCACTAATGCTTCCTCACAGATCCAACGCAGACGTCAAGATCGGAGGCTACGACATTCCCAAAGGCTCAAACGTCCATGTGAACGTTTGGGCGGTGGCTAGAGACCCGGCCGTGTGGAAAAACCCATTAGAGTTTAGACCAGAGAGGTTCTTGGAAGAAGATGTTGACATGAAAGGTCATGATTTTAGGCTGCTTCCGTTTGGAGCAGGAAGAAGGGTTTGTCCAGGTGCACAACTTGGGATTAACTTGGTGACTTCTATGATGAGTCATTTGCTTCACCATTTTGTTTGGACACCGCCGCCAGGGACTAAACCAGATGAGATTGACATGTCTGAAAACCCTGGACTAGTTACTTACATGCGTGTTCCTGTTCAAGCTGTGGCTACTCCTCGGTTACCTTCTGATCTTTATAAACGTGTGCCTTATGATATGTAAATGTCTCTCTCTTTCTCATCTACCTTCTGCTGTTATGCAACTGATGATGATGATCTTGCTGTTTTTTTTTTGTATTATTGTTTCTTTTAAGGTTTTATCATCTACAACTTTTGATGAGATTAGTTGTGTCAATTGTCTTAAGGTTGAGCAAAGAAACCAGCTTCTTTGTCATTCAGTTTGAGGATCTTTGTATTATTAACCGAACCCGACCCAAACATATATAAAACCTGAAAAGGGTTTTGCTATCTGAATCTGACTCGGATACCCGAATGCCCAACAAACCCGAAAATCCCAAAAAACTGATCCAAACCTGAATGCCTAGTGAATAAAATATATATAAAGAAAACTTCCGGAAAATCGAACAAGTTTCTTGATTATATTAACTTTAGGTTTTGTCTTAACACTCACTGGTTTGAAACAAAGCTATCTTAGGCTTATTTATTCTCTCTCAGAGAATTAACATAAACATATAGATTACCTTTGAACAAGTGAACTTCAAGAGGAGGATTCCTTAAACTCTTGCAGCTGCTTGAAGTTCATCCATGGCTTCACCCAAACCTTAGCTTCAAAATTCTTTGTCTTGCCACCTTCGTTTGCTTCTAGAGTCAAGTGGTACATGGTTCCCGCAACTACCTGTTCTCTTGCCTTGAGAATCTTCTTGAATTCCAAAACCTTGTTCTGCACTAATCAGACAAAAAGGAATCTTGTCACAAATTTGCAAAAGGATCTATAACAAGAAAACAGAGGAATCATCAAAGACCTCTTTGTTGTTATGCTCTTGTATAGCAAACCGAGCGAGACTCTCGATCTCACCATTGTTCTGGTTTCCTCGGAGATCATGAACACCTCCTAGCATCATCTTCTTCTCCACGCTGCATCGAATTGTTCCACAGAGAAGAAGGGTGATGATCAAGAACGTAACATAACCGAAAGCTTTTGATTCCATCTTTTATTGAGTGAGGAGACATATGCTTCTTGCCATGTTATCGCCTCATCCGTCTCTTTCTTGACGATCAAGGAAGGAAAGTGACAAGTCACGGGATGAAAGGCACGTGTCATCACCTGAACGGGTAATGGTTTTCTTTTTTTAATTAAAAAGTCAAAGAGATAAGAAAACATAAAACGGTATGACGTGTGTAGTTTCAAATACAAAACGGCGTGCATTCTCTCTATCTATTATCGTCGTCACTCACCACCATCATCACTCGATCGATTAGCTCATCGTGCTTCGCTCTTTCCGGCTCCGATGGAGATTGTGGAACCAAACACCTGCGTTAGAGGATGCTGCACCAGCGAATCGATTCCTCTTCATCTCCCTCCTTCTTCCTTCACTCTCCTCTCCCCAATCGCTAAAGGTAACTTCCATCATGTCTCTCTCCTCTCTCTCTCTTCATCGCCATTTTGAATTCAATTCATTGTTGTACAGGATCAGAGAGTGTAGTCTACGAAGCGATCCTAAACGGCAGAAGAGTCGCGGCGAAGAAGCCAATCTTATCTACTTCAGATGACCTCGACAAGTTCCACAGACACTTACAGCTCTTATGGTATCAGACCCATTTCAAAAAGTTTCTTACTTCAACACATTTCAAACAGAAAGTTTTGATTTTTTGATTTTTCTATTTTGGTGGAAGCAATATTGATCATCCAGGTGTGGCTAAGTTAGTAGCGGCACATGCTAAGCCTCCGAATTACATGTTTTTCTTTGAGTTTTATGAGTTTGGGAACTTAGCTGAGAAGTTACACGTGGAGGAGTGGTCTCCTACTGTTGGTCAAGTGTTAATGATCACGCTTCAGTTAGGTATGTGGCTTATTTCGTTTGTGATGATGGATTCTCAATATATGAATCTAAGTTTGTATTATTCATGTTTCAGCTAAGGCGCTGCAGTATCTTCATAACAATGGGATTGTTCATAGGGATGTGAAACCAGCTAATGTTCTTGTAATGATACTCACTCTTCCATCATGTAGAGTTTTTTTTATCTTGTTATGGAAGGTTAAGTGAGGTTTTGATTATTGATGCAGCTGGATGAGAAGCTTTCTCCATATCTGGCTGACTTTGGTTTAGCAGAATACAAGAAGGATTTGCGAGAAGTTAATCTACACAACTGGAGATCGTCTGGGAAGCCAACCGGTGGGTTCCACAAAAGGAATATGGTTGGAACACTTATTTACATGGCCCCTGAGATACTAAGGAAAGAGATGTATACTGAGAAATCAGATGTCTATAGCTTTGGGATTTTGATCAAGTAAGTATTGTCTTGACTAGAAATTGACAGCTTTCTTGTTCTTGCATTAAATTTGTTTGCGGTATGTTTAGCTTTCTTCATAAGAGATCTTTGCTTTTTAAGTAATGTTCCATCTTTGACATTGCAGTGAGCTTTTAACTGGAGTTGTTCCATATACTGATCTTCGTGCAGAAGCTCAGGTAAAATTATCTTTCCGCATTTCTCATTTTACATGACCATGCCTGTTAGAAGCCTTGATATATTCGATACAAGAATATTCAGGCCCCTGAACTTGATATATATTGCTAATGTTTAGCTCAAGTACATAAAAACGCATTCATTTTCTTTACTAATGTGTATATCTTGATGGCAGGCTCACACTGTTTTAGAGATGAATTACACCGAACAGCAACTTACAGCTGCCATTGTGTCTTCTGGTCTCCGACCTGCTCTTGCTGAAACTGGATTACACATTCCGAATAGTTTGGTGTCTCTTATACAAAATTGCTGGGGAGCTGATCCTTCTAAGCGGCCTTCTTTGGACGATGTGGTTTTGGAACTAGAATCACTTTGGGAACTAGAGAGACAGAAACAGCAAAGTCATTTCGTTGAGACAACAACTTCTATTTCCAGGAGTGATAAAGATGAAGGTGCTATTAAAAATACAGGAGACTACATTGACAAAATTAATTGGTCCAGTCAAGGGGAGTGTTTATCCAAGAAATCGTCTCTTTCCTCTTTCCCTGATCTGAAATCGTGGTCTAGTTCAACAGACGACTCTTCAAGATATGTCCCTATTGTTTCTTGTGGGTCTTTTGCAACATGTGGAAGAAGAGAATCCATGGAAGATACACACTTTCTCATGCCCCACATGTGTAATGAAGAAAACATCCACTTATTTGCTGTCTTTGATGGTCACAGAGGTATACCAACAACCAATTTAAACAGCAAGCATTCAATATTTTACACGCCATCTCTCTTTTTTGCTCAAAATTATTTTGTTATTCATCAAATAAGGTATATGAATGACATGTAGGTGCCGCAGCTGCTGAATTTTCTGCTAAAGCTTTGCCAGGATTAATTCAAAGCTTATCTTCCACAAGGTCAATGCTCAGCTCAAGCTTTGACTTACTCTTCAGCTTGGTTTGTTCAAAAACTCATTCCTATGTTTCATTTCAGCGCTAAAGAGGCACTTTCACAAGCATTTGTTAGGACTGATTTAGCTTTCAGAAATGAACTTCACTCCCATCGTCAATCAAACAGGGTGAGTCAGAAAGACTGGCATCCTGGTTGTACTGCTATAGCCTCTCTCCTAGTGCACAATAAGATTTTCGTTGCAAATGTTGGTGACTCCAGGGCAATTTTATGCCGTGCCGGCTGCCCTCTCGCTCTAAGTAAGGTGAGATGGGGACTATCATTACTGAAGTGTGCTAATTTACGGCCGTTTACCGCTCACTCATATCTGGCATATGAAACCAGGCACATCTTGCGACCTGTACTGAAGAAAGAAATCATGTGATTGGAGAAGGTGGACGTATTGAATGGCTGGTTGACACATGGAGAGTTGCTCCTGCTGGTCTTCAGGTCCGTGCCCGTTATAAATTTGACATATTTGCTTAAAAAATATCAGACATTAAGTTAGTCCATCTTAGGTGATTCAGTTTGTCATCTTGTGTAACAGGTTACCCGGTCGATAGGAGATGATGACCTAAAGCCAGCTGTAACCGCAGAACCAGAGATTAGTGAGACCATTCTATCAGTAGACGACGAGTTTCTGGTAAAAGAATTTATGTTATGATCTTATAGGTTGTTTACTTGTCAGTTGGGAGAAATAATAGGTAGACTTGGTTAGGTAATGGCGAGCGACGGGCTCTGGGATGTTATGAACGATGAGGAAGTTATTGGTATAATCAGAGATACTGTAAAAGAACCTTCAATGTGTTCCAAGAGATTAGCAACTGAGGCTGCAGCACGTGGTAGTGGCGATAACATCACAGTCATTGTTGTCTTCCTGAGGCCAGTGTCTACAGCTGAAAGGATATACTAGTAGCCAGCTCTTACATAGTATTCGATGCAACTTCTTTACATATAAATTATTTGCCATGGCTTTCCAAAAAGGTCAGACACTTGAGATCAACCAGTACAAAGTGTAATTCTTTCTTGAGAGGAACATATAAACATGAAATCACCTGATTACATCAGTCGCTTACAATTGATTTTGTTTTATTTAGAAATTTATGGTACTTAATGTAATACAATAAGGGATGAGAAAGAAGAAAAATAAGAAGTATAGTGGAGTTGGACGGCTTAGTATGCTCGTCTCAGAATCCATATGCTTTCTAAGGTATTAATAGTTAGCCTACAGCCTGCACTATGGTCATCTTGGCAGTAATGCACACTTGTTACCTCTATATAAACACCTGATATAGTAACCTCCTGAGATTTCATCTCTTTGGTTGTTGTTTTCCTGTCTTTTTTTTTTATTATTATTGTTTTCCTAATCTTGGCACTGACCCTTTGCTCAGTGCATCTTGCAAAAGTGTCTGGAAGCTCTGCAGGAACATGTCCCATTGGATTGTTGTCATGTCCCCGAAAGAAACACCTTCTGATTCAGCATGGTTCACACGCATCGGTGGGCTCCTGCTCCTCATGGTGCCTCCTCTCTTCTTTTCTTTTGCATTCACAGTAATCCGATGGTTTTGTGAGGACAGCATCGAAGCAGGTATGGAGTTTGCACGTGGCCCTTTTGGAGCCAAAGGTGGTTTAGATACATGAAAGACCTCTGTAATCTCCACTTCACATGGTGTATCTCCACCGTCAAACTTAAACATTCCAAAGTCTAGCTCCTTGTTCACTTCATTTCCTTTGTCAATTACAGTTGCTTTCGCTTTGGTGCAGATGGTCTCCAACAGACTGAAACTATCTTCACCTCTAGAAAAATCCCTTGTCATCTTCTCACCTATCTCTGCAAGACAGAGCCCTGCAGCTGCTGCTTGTTTCAAGAAAACCGTGCAGACAATGAGGACCCTTATAGCAGATTCAGGCAAAGAGTGTAGTTCATTTCTCAGAAGTTCCGCGTCTTTGAAAGGGTCCAGATTGGATATATACTGCAGCTCAGTGTCAGTGAACGGAACCAAAGCTTGAGGCCAGTTTAGCCATTCAAAGTAAGGATCATCTAGGCATTCAGGAAGGCAGAGACCATGATCTATAGGCACAAGCTCAGCGGTTCCAACTCGGTTATAACGCTTGTCTTGGTCACAACTCTTCACTAGCATGTTCCCTGCATGCCTGTCAAGGTTCAAGACTCTCACATCAAGTATCCCAATCCTATGAACAGAGGTAACCGTAAAGCTTCCTGGACCCAACTCTCCCGCATCAAAATCATGAGACACAAACCGCTGCAAGGAAGCAACCTTATAGGGAAATGAGGAGAAGGAGAAGGCGTCGCTGACGTGAAACGGGACATGTGAGATACTAACCAAAGCTGTTGGTGGCACACCAGAGAAGCCTTGGTAATCAAGAAGGTAAGCAGCTAACTCTCTGATACCAGTTTCACCAAGAGGAATAGAATGTTTCATTCCCGGTTGCCCTAGCATCAAACTTCCAGATTTTTTAGGGTTGTTTAAAGCTAAAGGCTCCTCATCAACCGGTTTAGCCACAGCGATGTTATGACCCTTTCCAGTTTGCAGGAGGTAAGCACCTCCCAAGCCACTTGGTAAAAGCAGAGGCTGAGCTCCAGATACAATAGCCATGGTGACCTCAGCCACAAGGGCACGGACAGTAGGCACACTCTGTCCACCAAGAATCTCAATCCGTGGAGCACAAGTTGCTTTCTTATTTTCCTCCATATTAGCAGATGCAGCTATGGAGAAGCAAGGAGAGGAGACGCTTCGGTGTATATTGTCATCTTGAGACATTCCATTTAAGGATTGCGCCAGGCTAGATCCAAGGAAGTTGAAGTCAAGGTTGGTTAGGGATAAGAGTCTGCATCTTTGTGTGGATCGGTTGAAGTAAGGGAACTGGTCACTGAATGGATCAATAGCCACGGCCATATCCGAGATCAATGTAGTCTTGCAGCTGATGATTAAGGTCGTAGCCAAACAATTCATACCAAAACCTAGTTTTATATTATATAATTACACAACTAAAGAACTCGTTTTATACAGTCACAAGATGGTGTGTCCTTTGCTTCGCTTGATTCCATTGTGCCCTTTTAAGTATTCGCTCATCCAACCATGAATCACCGCAATTTTCTGCAAGATAATTACAAGGAAACCATGAGAAAAAAACAACAAGAAAGAGAAGGTAGCTTGAGGAAGAAGCTAACGTAAAAACAACAAACCCTGATGAAGGCATTCAGTAGTGAGAACGGAGAAAGATTGAAACAACAGAAGGGAGCTTCAGAGAAGCCGACACACTGTCACCGGAAAAAAACTTGTCTCTTTTGTTTTCTCCTGAGACTCCCCTCTTTCGAACGATACTTTCTTTCTCCTTTTCTTTTTTGTTTTTTTTTCCTTTTTTGATTTTTCTCTTTCTTCAACCCTTTGCATCTAAATCTGTTTGTGTAATGCTATAAATGTCTTTCTTGTTTGTCAAGTTACAGGGTTTCCCGTGTTTTTCTGAAGAAAAGAAAAGAAAACGCGAGTTTCTGCTAAAAATAGACATTTTCTGAAAATAGCTAAGAAGCTAACAACAAGATTTTATTTTGGACAGTTAATAACAAGTATTCATTCCATTTCATTTTAGTTGTCTTGGGCACAGAGTCCATTTCATTTTAGTTGTCATTTTAAGTTTGGGCACGCAGATTAGTAAATCATTTAATTTTACATATTTTCAAAATAAAAATATAATTATCTATACACATTTTAATCAATGAAAAAAATAAAAAATAGATAAAACTAATAAATTATCTATTAAACTTATAAAACGACACTTATTTTGAAACAAAATTTTTCTTTAAAACGACAAATAAAGTTAAACAGATGAAGTATTTTTTGTATGCCTTATGGTCCTTATGAACAGGGGCAGAGCTAGTAAAGTGAGAGTGAGATTAGCTGATCCCACTTATTTTTAAAGTTTGTGATTTTTGCTAACTAATTAAAATTATTTTATGACTCCATTAAAAATAAATAATTTCAGATGACCCCTTAAAGAAAAAAAAAACTGTGAAACAAAAACATAATTAAAACAAAAATCATCATTTTGGGTTCAGTTTTTGACTAAATATCGATTTTGGGCTCAGATTAGGTTTAACCCACTTTATATAAAGAGAATAAATTCATGGTTTTATGAATTTGCATTAGTTCTTATTAATCTTGTTTCCTTTTAGCCAATATAATCTTGTTTAAAGTTTTTATTGTTCACTAAAACTAAACAATGTTAAATATTTTCCAATATACCTTAATCTCTATATATAATCTTTCATTTTATATTAAATTACATAAACTTAATGTAAACTCACAAATAAATTTAGCGTTTATATTTATAGTTTGCTTTTTAATTCGTTAATGCATCAATCTCTTAAAGTATTTTTATTTAACAACTAAAAAACTATGTTGGTAAATATTTTACGTAATTAATATCTATTTCATTTCTAAACACAAATAAAATATATTTTATATTTAAAATTCCCGGTAGAAAAAAATTATGGCTCTACCACTCTGCCACTGCTTATCAACAAAGAAGTTAAGAGCTTATGCTATTTTGAGTGTGAAGTTCTTTGCAGGTATCCAGAGATTTTTGAAGTATACCTCGTTTTTCGAGAAGAATTTCTGGAGCCAGCTTGAGTTTAATTTTGTCTTTCTCTAAATCAAAGATCTTCTTGGCAATTGAAAACTCACTTTCCATGGTGGCCTCATAATCAACATCCTATGCATTATGATTTTCAGAGACAAGTATACACTCTTAAGTGTGAAACTCTTAACATATGAACCATCGACTTGAAGGTTTTTTTAAACACATCATGCTGACACAAAAAGAGCCCTTAGAAAAATATCTTCTTATCTAAATGCTTATTTGCCCTTCAAACTTCTCCGTGAAAGGAATCAAAAAGCATCACCTAATTTATTTTGTGGCATACTAGTTCATCCGGTATACAATTAGTGTAAACATAACCAAAATTAAACAAATATGCATGGTATGAACAAAAAAAGAAACAAAAGGGTGATTTTCTTTCTTTTCTTTGGAAGTTAAAATAATCAACAAGTCCATTGGATCAAATCTAAGATCAAAGTAATTGCATGTTCGCGAGGAGCATATAGTTTTAAATGCCAAATGGAAAAGAATAATGATAAACTTTATTATTATCAGATTAGTTAGAGATCTCACAACTATGATCATTTTTCTTTCGATTTAACTACATATTTCATGTGTTTTCATGGTTAAACCACTTTTCATTAGATATTTTTTGTTTCCTTACTAATAATAAAGTCAAAAATACTTGTTTTTCTGTTTACTTTTCTTTGTAACCAATTTCCTTTTTTCATTATTAGTATTTAATAGAAAGACATAGGTTATAAAAAAATTATTGATTAACCATATTTCTAAATTATCGATTTCTACTGTAGCAACAAAACAATGCAAAGGCAAACACGATAAAAAAAAAAATAGCATATAGCATAATAAACAAGTCCCTTGGATTGGATCTAAAACCAAAGTAGTGCATGCATTTGTGCATGCTTTGGGGAAAAGATGGTTCACACGGTAGGTGTCGTTTTCAATATGCAGAATGATAATGTATAACGATAAAGTTATTACTACTGGATTAGTTAAAGATCAAATGACTAAGATCAGTTCTCTTTGTATTTACTTCTTTTGGTTTTATTTACATATTTCATGTGTTTCACTCTATACCATATTTCTTCAAAAACTTCGTTATGTCATCAGTCTTTAAGTGAAAAATAATATTTTTATTTGTTTTTCTCCGTAACCAATTTTCTTTTTATTTTTTTTGTTTCATTATTAGTATTTAATATAAATATATTGATCAAACATGTGTTTATTGTTTCGCATTAATCTTTGAGTTATCAATTCGACCATAATCCCTAAACATTGGTGTGAGTAATTTTTTTAACGTATATGCATGTTAAAACAACAAAAACAAAAGAGTGTTTGTTTCTTTCAAAGTAATAATAACCAACAAATTTCATGAATCTTATCTAAAAACAACATAGTTACACGAAATATATTCGCGTAGAAGGTGTTGTTTTCAATATGCAAATTGACAAAGGATTAATGATAAATTTATTATTACGAGATTAGTCAGAGATTTTATGATTGTAATCAATTCTCTTTTTATTTAATTTTTTGGTATTTGTTAACATATTTCATGTTTTCCCATAATTAACAGACTATTCATTGTTTTTTTTTTGTGGTTTCCTTGTTAGTACTACAATCAAGAATAATTGTCTTATATTTACAATCAAGAATAATTGTCTTATATTTACTTTTCTCTGTAATTGTCTTATATTTAATATGAAAAATGGAAAGAAACAACATAAAATTTATTGGATTAATCAAAGATATGACGACCAAGATCAGTTAGGTTGCTTGGAAACTCTGGTCAAGGTATGTTCCATATTTCGGAAACGTTTTGGAATCCGAATCTTTTAGAAACTTGGAGAAACTCGTTGGAAATGCATTTTTTCAAAATTTCATTTTGAAAACACGATGGAAACTTATGTTTCTGATTTAAAAACTTGCGATTCTGTTTGGAAACACGAAAAGATTAACTATTTACCACTTGATGTTAGTGATACATGTTTATTAACTTAGATTTTAATATTATTTTTGATATTTGTTATTATTTTGTATAATGATTTGACCTATAATAAAATCGACTCCACATTTTATCGAATGATAACAAATGTTAATTTTCTAAATATTGATTAATTTTGTATAAAAAATAACACTTAAATTGCTTGATTTTCTCTCTTAGTTAAATCAAACAAAAATAAGTTTACATGTTAATACTCATATATATATAAACGCTTTTGAAAATCACATTTCCACGTTTCGTTTCCACGTATCCGTTTCCGATTTTATTTCCGATTCTATGCAACCTATTTAGTTCTCTTTCTATTTATCAACCGATTTTCGTTTAAAAAAATCTTCTTCCATTTTAGTATTAAAATTGGGAATAAGAGTCTTTCTGTTTACATTTGTTTTTCTCAATAACCAATTTTTTTGTTGTTTCCTTGCCACTATTTGATATCAATATAGGTTCGATTGGCATGGTAACGGTAATACTCGACGGTTAAACCTTTTTTTTTGTCTTTTTCTTTTGCATTCACAGTAGCCTTCTCATGAGGAATAATCCGCTGGTTCATTGAGGACAACAACGAAGCAGGTATGGAGTTTTGCAAGTGGCCCTTTTAGAGCCAAAGGTAGTTTAGATACATGAAAGATCTCTGATATTTTCTTAAAACTATCAAACCCACCCAAATAACATTTGACATAAAGCATAAAGAAAATGGTGAACGGTTTTACACAGAAGGCAGAAAATCTACAGTAAAAGTTGCACTTCTCCATTATTTATGTTGATAAGAGAGCAAGAAGGAAGAGATATAAGAGTGGAAAACACAAGGCACACACACAGAAGCATGGACCATATAGTGAGACCAAAGTCTTTTACTTTAGCTCACCTTTAGTAATCAAAAGGCCACCCACTGTAACCCATATGTGATTGTTGCTGTTGCTGGTGATGGTAGTTATGGTTCTCATCTGTTGCTTCCGAGTTTCGTGTGCTGCTTTCGCGGTTTTGAGTAGAGCTCGAGGCTGAACCGGACGAACGAAATGGCCAAAAGGAAGAGAAAGGATTCCTCCTTTCATTGCTGCTCTCACGACTGTTACTACTACTACTACTACTGTTGTTTCTGGTTGTGGCTCTGGTTTGACTGCTTGAAGATCCTCTACCTGATGGCAGCTCTTGGCGACAGACAGGGCACGAGTTATGCTGAACCAGCCACGGGACAATGCAGTCAGAATGATAGATGTGGTTACAAGGCATCTGTTTAGCTTCAGCTCCCAATTCGAACTCGTCTTTGCACACAGCACAGTTCGAGTCAGACGACCTAAGATGCCTCTGAGCGATCTTGATCGTTGGCAATGCATCTATTGAAGATCTAGGAGCAGGTGGTGGGCCTCTGCGAGTAGAGCCAGCTGAAAGCTGCTCAAAGAGCTCTTCAAGACCAGGACCGAAGAAATAGTCACCAGTGTTACCACGTGTGATGCCAATGCCTGGTGAGCCACCATTAAACAGAGCTTCTAGTGCATTGTCTCCAGAGAGTCTATAAGGAACCTGACCACCAAAGATCAAGAGAGGAGCTAGGCTAGGAAAGTTTTCAGGACCAGAACCGATGGCTCTTCCTCTGTTTTCTCGGTTCCTCATAAAGGCGGAGAAAGCATCCATGAGATCAAAAGTTGGATCACGTCCCACAACATTCCTGTGAGATCTAAACATATCAAATGGGCTTGCTTGAGGCGTACCAAGCTCTTCAACAAACCCTCCTCCACAATAAGAACATACAGGATCTCGACCGTGTAGCCGGACAGCACGCTGGCATCTATGACACCAGTGGGTATTTCCACCGCTTGACATCCTTACTGTTGTAAGTTTCTTTCTGTTGACTCAAAAACAAGACCACAAAAACTAAATCGTCTTCTTGAATGCCTTAAAAGTTAGCTCATTTGACAGATCTCACATATAAACCTGCAAAAGCGAGTACAAGTAGGTCAATACTTATCTAGACTTTCCCAAGTAGACAGCCCAAAGACTCTTAGGAAAGTTAAGGCCTTTACATTTACATCAATTTATTGCACGTTATAAAATTCAGTTATAAGATCAAGATAAGTGTTTGTCTCAACACTATATTCTCAAGTTTGAATTTTTAATAAAAACTCAGACTTTATAATGGTATATAAAGCATATCACTCATTCATGAACCGAACAGGCACTAAGAAGTCTAACTGCTAATTAACACACAAAGACAGAACATAAAGCTTTAAGCTTTGTCGGAATCTGGCTATAAGACTATATCTGATAATCCAAATAAATGAACATAAAATCAGAACCTGAATGATGCAATCACCTTCTCTAGCTACAACTTATTATATAAAGTGAGACAATGAACGAACGAACAACTCAACCGGATGTAAGAACGGATAAATCAAACGAGTTTCAGAAGTTACATAACCATCAAGACAAGAAGCCAACTTCCGACAACGGAGAACGCATCATAAGAAGAACAAGTAAACTACGCAATAGGCAAATCTAAGATGCGAGATAACGGATACTTTGAGATCAATCAGAAGATTACCTCGTCATCTTGAAGAGGTAAAGATCGAGTGGTGGAGGAAGAGGATCTAAAAGACAGAGAAGAAACCCAATCGAGAGGATTTAGGGGAAGAAGAAGACGTAGAGGAACGACTCTAGAAGAATCTCTTTCGTTTCTGTGTAATTAACTCTGCGCACTCGCTGTATGACCCCACCTCTTAACTTCTCCACTAATTTAAAGTTTTCATTTTATTTTGGCGATTAATTTTTTTTTTTTACAGATATTTCTCAAGAAAGTACGCTTTGCAAGTTTGCATTATATTTCCAATGCAAAATTATTCAGATGTCAAATGACACTTGTATGGTTTTGGAGATAAATCAATGAATAACTAGATTTTCACCCGCACATCCGTGCGGGTATATTTTTATTTTATAAATATATAATTAATTTTTTTAAATATATGATTTATATTTTAGTTTTAATGAAAATTAATTTATAATCATATCTAATAACAAATATAAAAATAATTACTTTATAAAAAAAACATTTAAATTTTTTGGTAAGATCTTGTTAGATTTTTTCAAAAGATTTTGTTATATTTAAATTGATTTATTATTAATATCCTTATTAATTATTAAGATATTTTTAAAATAATATATATTTGATTGGTTGGTTAGTGTAACAATCTAATATGTCATATTAATACATATGTCATATTAAATAATTAATGACATGGTCTAACATGACTTTTAAATAGTAGATAAATTTGGTACTTCTCTTTTAATAGAGAAGATTTATTCATCATCTAAGGATTACAATTTAGTCTACATTTTATAACAATATTATAGAGCGTTAAAGCATTAGACAAATTACTAAAGGAATTTTAAGTTAGATTATAAATTTTTATCTTAATCATTTTAGTTGAAAAAAATTAATATAAAAAATATTAAAAAATAGATTATTGTTTTGTTTACAAGTAGCAAAGTTTATATTTCAAAACCAACAATGTTTATTTATAAACATTATAAATGGTGAGTCAAAACATCTCTAAATTATTACTTGTGAAATTTAATATTAATATGTTTTTATTGAAGAGTTTTTATCAAATAAAATTATTTTTACCTGAATATTATTTTTAAATAAAAATCAACTAGTAATAATGATGTAAAACAAATTATAATGTATAAAAAAATATAACATTTATTGTAACATATGTCAGTCATCCTCGTTGACTTGTTGTTATTAAGCTGTCCGAAATTTCTCAAATTCTCCTTTACTCTTTTCACACTATCAGTCCATTGTCGAAACAAGAAACCAACCCAAAACTTCTAAAAAGTTCCAAACTTCACACCTTCTCGTCACCTCAAAATCCAAACTCAATGGGAAAAACCCTAATCGAAATCTGTCTGATCTCAGCAAGAGGACTCCGTGTCGGAACCGGATTCGGATCCTCACTTCTGAAACACCAATGGTACGCAGTCGGATGGATCGATCCACAAGACAAGTATTGCACAACAATCGATGCTTCAAGATCAGACAACCCTCTTTGGAGAACAAAGTTCTCTACTTTACTTGACGACGATGACGATGATTCCAAGGTTCAAGCCTCCTTGCACGTTGAGGTTTATAGCAGAGAACCAATCTTCTTGAGGAAGAAGCTTCATGGCTCTGCTACTGTTTCCTTGAAGGAGTTTTTAGTCAAGTTTAAGAAGCAGAGTTCTTCTGTTGTTGAGGAAACTGGAAGTTATCAGCTTAGGAAGGTGAATTCAAGTAAGCCTCAAGGGTTTGTTGATGTTTCGATTCGTGTATCTGCTGAAAGACAGGACTTTGGTGGTTTTACTGGTAATGTCTCTTGGATTATGATATTGTCTGGACCGTTAGTCAGTAAACCCTGATTAAAAGTTTAAACCTTTGTAATCTAGAAGGTTGCTAGAATTTGTAGAATTCGATGTTCAAAAAATCGCTAGGTGGTGGTTAGGCGTTGGATTAATTTTTAGGTGGGCGTCTAGACCGATATTTTTAAAAAATGATTTGAAAAATCGTTTTGTTCATATCCGATTTGCCGACTAGGGAGGCCAGACTTTTAGAACAGTGGTAAAATGTAAATGGGTATGTGTGCAATGAGGTCAGTGTACAAATGAGACCAACTTTGCTGCTGTTTTTGTTTCCTTTGACTCAGTTCTTGGGTTTGTCTGAAAGAGAGTACTCATCATTCTTCTTCTTTCTCTTACTGCAGGAGATTTTGGAGGAGTCATGCTCTCTAACAACTCTAGTTACATGCCTGGTTCATCACAGCATCCATTTGCTTCAGTGAACCAGCCAAACAATCCAAACCCATTCTCAGCCCCGCCAGATAAACACTACTCCCCAATGCCTAATCCTCTAACAAACAACGCTTCTCCACAAATGCAACAACCTTATTATCCTCCTCCACCAATGCAGCAACCTTACTATCCTCCTCCACCAATGCAGCAACCACCACCCCCAACTTTGAATGCAGGGTACATGCCTTCATACATACCGAGGTCGGAGCACGCTGTGAACCTTCCATCATCATCATCTGGAGGATTGGGAAGAGGATATGCAAGGCCTGGACCAGGACTTGGAGCTGGTGCAATAGTTGGAGCTGCTGCAGCGTTTTATGGCAGAGACTATTTATCAGGAGGATATGACTTACCTACAAGCTTACCTCTCCCAAATATGTCCATCCCTAATATCTCTATCCCAAATATCTCCATCCCAAATATGTCCATCCCAAATGGCTCTATTTCCATTGATCCTCCATTTTGATTCCTGAATAATAATATGAAGTGGCAACAACTTGATCGGTATGGCTTGTGAGATTATCTGAAACTTTATAAGACTATATGTATTTGATATGATAAGAGGTCCCATTTGGTTTCTAGGGAATTTGATCAAACTGTTATTACTTTCTATATGGTCTTGTTAGAATATTACGTAACATGATGGTTATAAGCAAAGTGATGGGGATGAATCTTGAAATGTACATTGTCCCAAGCAATAATAATGCAGGTCCTTCACTGGAAGTGGCAAATGTGCTATGAATAACACCGTATGCAGTCACACCAAATCTATTCACATAGACATTGTTATATACAGAGGCTTTGAAGAGTGGTAGGACCACGAATCCTACTTATTTCCTCTGTAGTAACCGGTGTAACAAGGCTTTTGTGTCAGGAGAGCTGCCTATTCAGTGGAATGAAAATCCTCCCCAACTACCCTAACTCTAAGAGAGAAAAAGGTGAACAGTTCTCTTGTTGCTGGATAGTAGTGGATACTGCCAGCCACTTCAGGTTTGGTGAAAGTGCAGTGCTATATAAACTCATTCCCAAGCAACACAATCCTCTTGGATGTGCTTGAGTGTCAATCTGATGAAACAGTCTTAGATCCATCGAGTTTCTTTCAAAGGTTCACAGTTATATAAACTGGAACCATGACTCGTTCCAGCAACAAAACAACTGGAATCCTGATTCCAGGACACAGAAACCAACTCTGCTTCATCTTTTTCATTGGATTCTAACTCTGGACGCACAAAAAGAACCAGAAGTGCTGCTACTGCCGGACTCATTACCACCATAGGCACCTGTTTGCAGGAGTCCTTGAGGATCTGAAACAGCTAAGCTCATTTATTTTGGGATCAGTTGAAATGCGATACCACTTTTATATACAAAAGCGACAACCATGAGAAATAAACGACAGAACTCAGGCATGTGATATCAAGAAACACCAGAAGAAAAAACTTAGACTTATCTCAACCCTAGTCCCTAGAATACAGAAACATTTAATTTGAAAAAGATGGTGAATTTTAAAGACAATGCAGCATCAAAAGCTTATGGGATCATCATAAGCAAACAACATTTTCAGAAGTTTTTGAGTGAGATCAATACTTCATACAGGAAGGTTTTGCAAAGGTTGTTCATTTTCATAGTCATTATATTATATAAAACATATCTACTAAACATAGCTTCAAAAAGAAGCAGCGCATGCATATTTTTCCTCACGTTAAGAATCATGCATTTGGGGTTGGGCAAAACCACATTTAAAAAAACTTGCTTGACTTTAATGTGATTGTGTACTTTCTGGAATATACGAAGTTCAAGTTTACGAACACAAGCATGTTATATTACGAGTCTTGACAATCACTCAATCAGTCTAGTCTAATATCCACATCACTACCAGAGATCATTAGTTCAACTGAAAATAACCATTGACCATTGTGTCAGAAGTCCCCAATTCGAGTGATTGATAAGACATAAATTAAAATTACATGTTATGAAGTCGGGGATGGGGAATTATGAATTTGGGTCTCAAATCTCTTGGTATTCAAAAAATATCTTACCAAGTTTCATTATAGCACCCGCAACAAAGAATCTTAGAGAGAATCCTTACGAAAATATTAATTTTATAATCAGTAAATCTCATGAATAGTTAAGGATTCTATCTTTAAAATCCTTATTTAAGTATTGATCCTTACACTATTCGCGAGTTCCACTGTCCACGTGGCGGCCCGCGAATAGTCAGTTTTTTTTTTAAAGAAAAAATCTAAAATATTTTTATATAATCCGAAATGTCCATTTTTCTTTTTCTCTAAGGATTTTCCCTAATGATCCCTTGCTGCGGATACTCTTATATCAATAGAGTTATTTCTACACAATAGTTTTGAGCAATTGAAGTGGCTAGCGTTCGTATACCAAGAATGGATAATCACTTTAGCGTCGAACAAGTCCATATTTAGAAAAATGATTTTGGTATGGAGAGCCAAAACCCCATGCACTCACACATTGTTCAATACGCACCAATAGTAAAAGAAAGATAAAACGAACCCCAGTTTCCGAGAGAAGGAGACATTGACAAATTATCACTTGATTCTGTTTGAGTTAAAAGTTAAAGCTAATCTCATGTGGGTTTATGTCATCTGATTCCTCTTTAAGCAAGTGCTGTGTGATGAATACTCTGAGTGGTTCAGAGGGTTTGACTCAAGCTGAATATACAAGACATGTGAGAGGCACGTGTGGGAAATTATCTCTCAGCCAATCAAAAGAGAGTTCTCTTCTTTACGTTGTATCTTCTTCTTCGTGAGAGAGAGTTCGAGAAGTTTCGAGAGCTGTAACAGAAGAGAGAGAGAAAGCTTGAGAGAGTTAGGTGATTGTAAAGACTTTGTTCATCACACATATCTAGTGAATTTCCGGGATACTCCGGTCCGGTGATGTATAGCGGCCACACCTAGTTAACGGTGTGGTGCGGTGAACACTGATATGCTCAAATTAACCTTCAAGCTACTCTCTCAAATAAGAGGTTCGATGTAGTACTTGAGGATCGAATCCACAGAGACCAATTATTACACTTTATTTTTATAGGATCAATATTAAGCTAAAACAATATGAGGTTTTAAATTAAGAAATTGTAAAAAGCAAGTAACAAGTTGGTTTGGTTTCAGATTATAAAAGAGTTAGGTTTAGGATGATTCATCGGGATACTTAGGATCATGAACTACACAACTATTCAGGAAAGCAATAAGAGCCAATCTAGAACTTGAACAACAAGGTTAAATAAACCCACTGTCGTGGTGTCTATCAATTTATCAAACAATCCTAATACCTAAACTATCGTTTGGATTAGACACTGATGACAAGCATTGAGGTCAGGTTCAATTGGTTCACGAATTGCCCTAACATCTACTCTCGCTGGCTAGGGACAAATCGCCTATCTATGCTTTTTCTAGCAACCTAAAACACTTTTGATGATTAGATTAAACCTGATATCAGATGTTGAATGGCCAGTTTAACACAAGCAGTAAGTATAGCAATAGATAGAGATATCAAAGAATAAAAATCCTATTTGTGTCTAGCTCATTGATCCATGATCCCTAACACCCTAAACCTAACAAGCGACTACTTAGTCATAGACAGAGAAATCACAGAGTTAATAGATGAAAAAAACATGTATGAATCAATAAATAATAAGCAAGAGGGTTTAGAAATCTTCTCCAAAGGTTGTAGAGATCCTTCTCCCTCAAAGATACAAAATATCTTATATATTAAAACAGAAGTCATAACTCATTTCATGTGTGATTTTTTAGTTTGGACTATCTTTAAAAAAATTATAATGCATAACATCTTATAATATCTTTTCATATTTTAATTTTTATTTAAAATACAAATAAATATTTTTTTTAAAAAAAAAAGTCTAACAAAATCTTTTCAAAATCTAATAGAATCTTTTCAAGATATATTTTCGAAAATTATTTGATTAAAATTTTAAATATCATAAAATATAATTCATATTTTAATTCATATTTTATTTATAAACAAAAATTTAAAACTATGTAAAATACTTTTAACACTAACCTAAAAATTTGTTTATGATTTATGTAGGTCCAACCTAATTTATTTTTTACCTATATTTCAAATTGAGAAATTAAAAAAAAAATGTAAATTAGTAATGTTACATAATAATGTTTTTAAAAAATTGTGACAAAAATACAAATTTATAGATTTTATATTAATATATTATAAGCCACATAAACATTATTATAAAATCAGATAGTATGCAACATCAAATTATATTTATTTATTGATAAATATTATTTTGTAATTTAAATATTCTAATATTAACATACCCGCACGGTTGTGCGGGTCGAGATCTAGTTGAAATTAAAAGCTCTATAGTTGTTTCTCTGGTAAAAAGTAGCCTAGTCTATTGTAGAAAAAAGGAAAAGAAGATATATGGAGGCTGCTGGCGGCTGGGAGAGAAAAATAGGAGAATTAGGGCAAATCCCGAAATAGATTTCGTTAAAAATCTATGCCGCGGAAACAGGCGCTTCAGGCTGCTCCGCTCACTCGGAAACAGTTTGCAGACTGTTCTTCGTGAAAATCATCAAATTACAATCTTTTTCTCCAACTGGTACATCTTCCATCCAAATGCAATTCTATACCTGTAATGACTTAAAAAAAACTAAAAATACTCGATAAAGACTCAAAAACACTTTAGAAAACATTGTTAGAATATGTTAAAAACACTATATATCAAACACCGGGTAAACAATCTTGTGTGTCTCTTGTTTATGCTTTGTTCTTTCTTATTCCTAAATCGATTCACAAATCCAAAGTAGATTCAAGCTAAGGAATCCCAACATCTCATAATAATACTACTTATTTCCTTTTGGAGTATTAAGAAGCAAGTTGTTAACAAACGTCAACTTTTATTATCCCTTATATATTAATCCTGAAGCATTCATAAATGCACAACATTGAAGAGCATGCTTACGTGTCAAGCTCACAGAGCTTCTCAGCCTTAATTTTTTTAATTGACCAACTTTGCTAGGAATGAAATAATGTAACGTTTAATTTCTTGCATTTAGGACTATAATATATAAACCTTTTTAAGGGACCAACTCTACTAGGTATAAAACAATATATTTTATTTCCTTAAATAAAAGCTACGGAATTACCTAATATGATTAACATATATAAGTAATTAATGATTATGAATAATACATATTTTTGTGTCTTCTCTCTTTTTTGTTTAATTTTAAATTATTAAAATAAATTAAACAATCACATTAAATATATAATAAAAATTAATTTTTTTCTTATAGGTTATATTTTTAATTTCTTAAAAGGACCATAAATAACTAAAAATAGTAAAATCCCACATTGAAAATTTTATGATCAATAGTTTAACCAGATACAAATTATCATAAATCGTACAAATATGAAATATCATTAGTAGATATTCATATTATAAATATGTTAATTTAAAAATTTCAGTGAAAAGGTTTGAGATTAGTAGATACAAATTATAGTATTCGAAAGATTTTTTTAGTTTGTTTTATTTGCTTTTTGAAAAAAATATCTTTTAGTTTATTTAGATAATTTAGCTAATTTTAAATTAAATTTATTAATAGTTTAAATATTTTGAATTTTTTGTCAACTTTTAATGTTTAAAAAAATATTTTTTGGGATGATTTCAGATATTGGTTACAATTCAATTTAAACTGAATT